GCCAGGGACAACATCAGCTACGGAATCAACTCTGCCTTGAAGACCCTGGAGCTGCGGCAGCTGTCGGGGCTGGGGGACCTCCGTGGGAGAGTGGCCAGGTGGGTGCTGTCGGGCTGCGGCCCCCAGGAACCCTGGATTCCTGGCTGTTGCCCCCTCCTTGTCCTCTTGCACTGACCTGTGAGTGCTGTTTGGCTAAGGTCATGCGTTTGTCAAATGCTTCAAAGCTGGGACTTTCATTTTGTGTGCCTTTTTGTGTGTTCTCATAATTTATCTTACTTTTCTGAAAGTTTGAGTCTTCTGGTTGGGTGAAAAATTTTGTCGCCTGTTGGAGGAGTGGTCAGGAACCTGCAGCTTGGGTTGCCTGGCCCTGCCGGATTCATTGGGCACTGTGCCCAGAAAAGCCTGCAGGGGCAGGGACCCGGATGGTGTCCACATGGGGCCTCTGCTGTCCTCTGCCGCCCACAATAGCCAAGCACAGCGTGGGCCTCTACAGGGTGACAGAGTGGTGGGCTGAGGCAGGCGGGTGGGGGAGATAGAGCCCCATAGGCCCCAGGTCCTCAGAGTGGAGGGGCAGCGTTGGGGTGCCTCTATGTGGACACCACACCATCGGTTAGGCCCTGGCTCGGCCCATCCGCCCGCCACTGTGCCATCGGAGGGGGCCTTCCCTCCTGCCCTACTGACTGCTTGTGCCCCTGGTGTCTGTCCTGATGCCCGCCCTGCCCAGTGGCCCTGCTTCCCTGCCCTGCCATCCCGCTGCCCCAGCTGGGCACCCCGCCATGGCCGAGGGTCTGGAGAGTGGAACAGCAGCCCTCAGCCAGTGTCTGGATGAGTGGGACCCCGAAGCGCCACTGTGCTAAAGCAGAGAGTTGGATCCTTGTTCTGGGGTTTGGTGCAAAGAAACCCCAGCTCTGCTGCCCGCGGGATGGAGAGGGCCGGAGAGCCCGGGGCCGGGACTCGGACGGGCTGGGGGAGCTCCCGGCCGCCTGGATCGCAGGCAAAGGCTAAGGACGCGGGATCCGAGTGGCTGCAGCTGATGCGGGTGGCCTCTCCGTGCAGCTGTGGGGACTGAGCTTGGCCCTGTGCGCTGCGTGCCCGGAGAGAAAGGACCTGGAAGCCCTCCGGGAAGCTTCCGGCCCCAGCGCTGCCCTAGCGATGGTCTGCCCGACCGGGCTCTTTCCCATAGCGTAAGCTTCTTTTCTGCCACCACCAGCAGCGTTGTGACCAGCGCCGGTGAGCTTGCCTTCCCCTGTGCCTGTGTGCGTTCTCGCTGCGGCGCTGACGGGACTTGTTGCAAACGGACTCACGGGAAATGAAAATTCTTCGGCCAAGTCTTGACTTTCCTGGTCGATTATGTCATTGCACTGAAGGGGTGTGAGGTCTCCCGCGATGTTTGGAGGTTACGAGGCTGCTTGTGAGATCGTTGCAGATTTGATTTTATGGTTTCTGCGGATGCATCTGACACGCGATTAAGAGCAGCCAGGCCCGGATTTCCCCCCTGCAAGTCCCGCTCAGAGGGGTATTCCCCGGTGGTTTTACCCCACCCAGCACCCCGGCTGCGAACTTCTTTCTCCCTAAAGCATAGCTCCAGAAGCTCAGCTTTTCCATTCCGGCCAGAGTAGGGGCCGAGATCGCACGTGATGTCCCCGTCTGTCCAGAATCAGTGGCTGCTTCTGCTTTCCCCTGAGGTTGGGCTGCGTAGCGACAGCTTTAGAGGACCAGCACCAGCCTGCAGCCAAGGTGACTGTGTCCCTTCCCAGGGCTTACTGGGAATTGAGTAGAGCATTACTGGGGGCTGCACAAATGGCCAGATAGCTCTGAAGACCCACCAGGTACACCTGTTGGACATCCCTTTAGGACTCTCTGTCTGCCTGTCTCATCTCTCAGTGACGAATTCTGGTGACGTCATTCATACCATACGAGTCACCTATTCAAAGCTTCTGGATCCACAGACTCTGTGTACACACAGTTGTATCACTATTGTAATTCTTTTTTAAACATTTTTGCTATTCAAAAACAAACCACGTGGCCATTAGCCACCACTCCCCACTCCCACCCCCGCCCAGTCCCCTAGTCTGTGGCAACCACCAAATACTTCCTGCTGCCCATGGATTTGCCTCCCTGGGAATGTAGATGTAGTCATAGCACACGTGCGCTTTTGAGACGGGCTCCTACCCTTACTTGTTTTCAAGGTTTATCTGTGTTGTAACATGTGAGCTCTTCATTCCTGTTTAGGACTGAGTGATGTCCTAGTGTACGCCATGCTTTATGTATACATGGGTTGAGTGTTTGGGTTGTCTTTATTCTTTGGCTCTTATAAATGATGCTGCTACAGGGGCTGGGTGTGGTGGTATACACCTGCAAGCGCAGCACTCCTGGGAAGCTGAGGCAGGAGGAGTGTTTCGAGTTTGAGGCCCACTGGGCTACAATGTGAGTTCAAGGCTAGCCTGAATTGCATAACGAGACCCTGTCTCAGAAGGGTTCTCTCTGTCTCTCTCTGTCTCTGTCTCTGTCTCTCTCTCTCTCTCTCTCTCTCTCTCTCTCTCTTTCTCTCTCTCTCTGTCACACACACACACACACACACACACAGAAATAATGCTATCATGAATATTTGTGAACATATTTTTATGTGGTCAGTTCTTGGGAGACAGAGTGACTTTGTATTTAACAGAGAAACAAAACCGTTGGACTCTTTTCCAAGGTGACCACCCCATTCTGTCCTGGCACCAGCCCTGTGTCAGGCTTCAAAGGTTTTCACAGCCCTCGCTGTCTATCTTTTTCAGTACAGCCTTTCTTCCAGGTCAGTCTGAAGAGCTGTGTCATTGGGGTTGTTATTTATCTTCCCCTAGCGCCCCGTTTCCCTGAAAATAAGACCTAGATAGAAAATTTTGAAAACTAGCAATCAGAACTGTTTAGCCGGTTAGCCTGTCCTTGTATGGCAGGACTAGTGGTTTTTGCATTTTGGTCTTTTATTCTGCAGTTTGGCTAAGCTGATTCCTGACATGTAGTCCTTTGTGGTATGCTTCCTTTGGTTTTTCAGTCTTCTATAGGCAAGGCCATGACACGGGCATACCCAGGTGCTTTACTTCTTCCTTTCCCGTCTGCATGGCTTTGAGTTCTTTTTCTTCCTCAACACTCTGACTAGAAACGCAGCTGGGATGCTGAGTAGACATGGTGTCTGTGGACGGCTTTGTCTTGTTGCTGAGCATGGGGGAGAGCTTCGAGCTTGCGCTGTAGAGCTTGAGATGAGCTGTGGCGTTTTTGTCAGGTTGAGAAACTTCCTTTCTGTTTCTAGTTTGCTGACTTGTTTTGTATAATGATGAAGAATGATGGGTTTTATTTAGGCTTCTTTTCTTCATCTGTTGAGATGTTTGTGTGGTTTTGGCCTGCTTTTCTACTGATGTGCTGTATTCGATTAACTTTTTCTGGAGTTAAACCGGCCTTGCATTCCTGGAATGACCGCCCCTTGGTGCCGGTGTGTACGCCCAGGAAGCTCTCAGAGTCCACTCGAACTTTCCTCAGATGTGGTTGGCGGCGCAGTCTCTGCGAGCCTCACCTCACGTCTCCTAGTACACGAGGATGCTCTTGCACATGTTTGTAAGGAGCAGCTTTGTCATGTGCCCGGACAGGTGTGACGCCAGCATAGCCAGGCTCTCTGCGGAACACAAGACGACCTACGAGGGGCTGCAGCACCTGAGCAAAGAGCAGCAGGCGGCCAAGCTGATCCTGGAGACGAAAATCAAAGACGCAGAGGGACAGGTAGGGCCTCGCTGGGCAGCTTTTAAAAGCAGGGAATTTCTTCTTGGCTGGGGTGCTATTTCTTGCAGGAGAAATTAGCGGGGGCCTCAGCAGAGGTTTCTGCAAGTCACAAGAGTCTCTTTGTTTCTTCATTCTCTGTTTCGCCGAGGTGGGCCTTCATGAATCTGGCCACCAAAGTACAGTGATTTCCTTGGTCTAGCCCTAACCGAAGGGTTCTTCCTGCTTGTTCTTAAAGTGATTAGCGTGTTCTAGAGATTCCAAGCTGCTTGCTGGTCACGGTGGTGCACACCTCTAATGCCGGCACTCTGGGATGCTGAGACAGGAGGTTTGCAAGTCCAGTCCAACCCAAGCAGTTTAGCCACCTTATTAAGACACTGCCTTAAAATATAAAAGGACAAAAGTTTAAACATTAAAAATAAATTGAAGGGCCCTGCATTCAATCCCCAGTACCCAAAACAAAAAGAAACAAGACCTCTCTGTTGCCCAGGCAAGTGTTCTGTGTGCTGAGCCCCGCTGCACCCCAGGCCTGCCTCAGAGCAGTCCGAGGGCCCACGGGGCACAGTGCAGACGCTTTCTCCCCGCTCTGTCTGTGTGTGGTGCAAAATTAGCCCGAAGCTGAAGGGAAGCTGCCCAGGGAATTTGGAGATTTCCTACCTTGAAAGGCACTCACTGATTGCACAAAGTGAAATTTGGCATTTTGTTTGCTTTTTGGCCTTTTACAAGTTTCCCCTTATCATAACAGGGTGGGTCTTTCAGGGTTTGTCTTACATGGCCTGCCTTATTTACAGTTCTTTGCTGAAGGAGAGACTGTTTAGAAAAGTAATGGCACTTGTAGCCCACTTATGAAATTAAAAATGTGAATGTCCTGTGTCCGGTAAGGATCTGGAGTTGCTCATATGAAAAATGCAGGTGTTGTTACACTATGAACAAAGAATGCAGAGTAGTCCACTGTTTTTTAAAATAATTTGGAAGAATGAGGAAGGGTGAAGTGATTCCACCAGAGACCAGATGTGAGGCAGCTCTTAGGCTTCTGATGCCTGAGCCAGGTAATTCACAGAAATTTGTTAAAGGAGACAGAGCTATTATTGTTCTGGACCTGGAAAGAATTACAAATTTCTAATAAGGAATGTTGCACGTCATCATTCTTGAGGACTCCACGAACACTGCTGCACAAAGGACTAGTTTTGCATTCAATTTGAGTGAAAAGACAAGGGCAGACCGTAAGTGCTATGTGGTCACAGTGCCTGGGCCCTGCCTCGCGGTGACAAGGATGACGGACGTCGAGGCCGGGAGGCGGGTGCTGGCAAACGCATCTACAAGGTGTGAAGGAAAGAAAATACCACGATGGCAGTGAGGCGGCAGGAAGCAGAGCTGCCGTGGGCGCAGGGTTCTGGTTGCCCAAGAAGGCCCTTTGGGAGCTTTTAAGGGGCTTAGAAGGGCGCGTGGGCCATGGCGTAGCTATGTAATCTGTGCCCTCCAGGAGATTACTGTTTCTTAGGTCCAGTCTTTGGGGTGCAGGCCCGTGCACCAGAGCCAGTGGCTGGTCTGATGGAGCCACTGGCTCTGCAGGTGTCCCAACAGCCCCTGGCGGGCGTTTCTGTGAGACCCCGGAGGGCTGAGACGCTGCAGGCGCCCTTCTGGGGCCTCCACGGGGCGCTCGCCGTGCAGCACAGCATGGCGCCTGGGGTGGGATCGACGCTCTGGGGTGTTGTTGCTCTCAGTTTCAGTGCGTGTGTCAGGGGTGAAAGGACAGGCGCACTCCTAGATGCCGTGTGTCAGTGCCTGACACACGTGCAGCACAGGGTTGCCCTCGCTCAGAGCGCGCCTGAAGTGAACCTTCTCTTCCAGATCTCCCAGCTGTTGAGCAGGGTGGACTTGTCCATATCGGAGCAGAGCACCAAGCTGAAGATGTCCCACAGAGACAGCAACCACCAGCTGCAGCTCTTGGACACCAAGTGAGTCCCGAGCTCCGCGGAGGGCTTGCGCTCGGCTCGCCGAGCCCACGCGCTCCTGCCCTTCTCTTCTGGCAGCCTTTTACTTACTGCGCACAATGAAAGCCATCACAGAAGTTAAAAGGAAGAGTTTCTTTGTGGCCTGATGTCACCTTTCCTTCACAATTATTACTTTTAGTGATTGGATTATTGTTTATAATTGTATTATT